TAGGTGAAGGGAAGGACAGCACACACTACAGGGGAAGTCAGCACAACTGGACTAAACCAAAGCTAAGAAGTTTCCGGAATACAATCAAACACTTTGAGGGACAGAGTAGCAGGGGTAGGGGTCTGGGACCATGCTTTCAGGGGACATTTAGGTCAACTGGCATAACAAAGCTTATTAAGAAAATGTTCTGCATCCTCCTAACAAGAGTGGCATCTGGGGTCTTAAAAGCTTGCCTGTGGCCATCAAAGATGCATCAATTGGTCCCAACCACCTGGAGTAAAGGAGAACGAAGAACACCAAAGACACAAGGAAAGTATTAGCCCAAGAGACAGAAACGGCCACATAAACCACAGACTTCATCAGCCTGAGACCAGAAGAACCAGATGGTGCCTGGCTACCACCAATGACCACCCTGACAGGGAACACAACAGAAAGTCCCTGATGGAGCAGGAGAAAGGTGGGGTGCAGAATTCAAATTCTAGTAAGAAGACCAGACTAAATGGTCTGAGACTGGAGGAACCCCGGAAAGCGTGGCCCTCGGATTGTCTATCAGCCCAGAATTAAAACAATTTCCAAGGCCAACTCTTCAGACACGGATTGGACTGGACTGTGGGACATAAAGTGATGCTCATGAGGAGTGTACCTCTTAGCTCAAGCAGATACAAGAGACTAATCGGGCAGCTTCTGTCCGGAGGTGAGATGGGAAGGCAGAGAGGGTCAGGAGCTAGTTGGATGGACGTGGGGAATTGGGGTGGAAAGGAGGAGTGTGCTGTCACAGTATGGGGAGAGCAACTGGGGTCACATAACAATGTATGTATCAATTTTTGTATGGGAGACTAACTTGAAATGTAAACTTCATTTAAACTACAACAATAAAAAAAAAGAAAAAAAATATTGATCATTTGGTCTCATATAGATGATTTTTTTTTAAAGCAGCACAGTACTCACGGGTGATATTGTTTACTTTATAAGCCAATCTGTTATTTAGCTGAAAGGTGACCTCCGAGAGTGGTTTCAGTTAAAAGTTTAAAGTGTATCTCAGGGGGATAGTCTCGGGGGATTCTCTAGTCTCTAGTGGTCCAGTTTAAGTCTGTCCTTTTTTTGTAAGAATTTGAGTTTTGTTCTACAATTTTCTCCCATTCTATCCAGGATCATCTATTACTTGATTTTTTATTTAAAGGGTATCTATGATCAATCTTCATTTGACTGAAGAAAACTGCTCCACTCAATAACCTTTCAGGAAGGTATCGTTATCTCTATTTTATAGATAAGTAACTAACTCTTAAAGAAGGATAGGTCAGGTTTTTCTGGATCCATAATCAAAACCCACGGAAGCAGCAGTCAAGAAATCAAAGGACATACTGCATTGGGCAAATATGCTACAAAAGACCTCTTTAAAGTGTTAAAAAGGAAATATGTCATTTTGATGACTAAGGTGTGCCTGACCCAAGTCTTGGTATTTTCAATTGCCTCATATGCATGCAAAAGCTGGACAGCGAATAAGGAAGACCGAAGAAGAATTGACACCTTTGAATTATGGTGTTGGTGGAGAACACTGAACATACCACGGACTGCCAGAAGAAGGAACAAATCTGTCTCGGAAGAAGTATAGCCAGAATGTTGATTAGAAGCAAGGATGCCAAGATTTTGTCTCACGTACTTTGGACATGTTATCAGGAGGGACCAATCCCTTAAGAAGGATATCCTGCTTGGTAAAGCAGAGGGTCAGCAAAAAAGAAGACGACCCTCAATGAGATGGACTGACACACGGGCTGCAACAACGGGCTCAAACATACTAACAGTCGTGAGGATGGCCCAGGACCGGACAATATTTCAATCTGTTATACATAAGGTTGCTAAGAGTCGGAACCGACTCGAGGGCACCTAGTGACAACAATGGAGGTAGGAAGCAGGAGAGAAGAAAATCAAGCTTGGGTCTGGAAGGTGTTCTCACACTAAAGAAAACAAACTGTATTTCTGTTGTTATGGATTTAATTGTATCCCCCCCAAAGTCCGGTAAATATGTGCCTGTAAATATGACACTGTTTGGAAATAGAGGTTTTTTTGATATGTTAATAAGGTCACCTCAGAACACGAAAGGTCATGTCAGAACCCGAAAGGTCGCAAACCTAATCCCTTCTACATGGCCTCACAAAAGAGCAGAATAAACACAGACACACCCAGAGGGAGACAGACACCATGTGAAGGTCCTCCTACAAGCCAAGGAATGCTGAGGAATGCCTGGGGTTACTGACAAGGAAGACCTTCCCCTGGAGCCAATGTCCTGATTTGGACTTCTCGCCTCCAGAACTGTGAGAAAACAGATTTCTGTTCTTTAAAGCCACCCACTTGTGGTATTTGTGTTATGGCAGCCCGAGGTAACTATGATCATCTGTTAATAAAAATTCTGAATTAAACTAGTAGTCATCATCTCAGGATAAGCGTATGACTTCAATTTCAATCACATGTCTAATGTTTTATTAGGCAATTAGATGCAAAATATTTTGGCATTTATTGATAAATATTTGTTCTGTGAAGATGTTATACAGAACGATTAAATAAATTTCTACAGATACGTAAGTTTTTTTCAGATAAAGTCTTGGAAAGTTACTCAAGGTAGTAATTAATTTAAATTTCTCATCCTTGAAGTTCATCCTAGGTTTAAAAAATGCTATGGTTCCTTTTCCTCCTGCTCTAGTAATAAAGAGAGCGGGAAAAGAAAAGGGAAAAAGTAGCTCAGTCATTTGCCACTTGGGGAAAATACAGTCTGGACTCCTACTTGCTTGGAAACGTTGCCCCTTTGCTCTGCTCCCCTCCACAATGATACTGAGGACTCATGTGTTCTACCTCATCCTTAGCTTTTTAGAACCTACCTCCATAAAATAGCAACAGACACTCAAAACCACACCTGCTGCCGTTGAGTCCATCTGGACTCACAGCAACCCTACAAGACAGAGCAGAACCGCCCCCAAAGGTTTCCGAAGCTGTAAATCTTTACGGAAAAAGACTGCCACATCCTTCTCCTGCAGAGCAGCTGGTGGGTTCAAACCACCGACCTTTCGGTTAGCAGCCGAGCACTTCAACCACTATGCCACCTTAGCAACACATAAGGTAACCCAAAAAATGTTTTGGAAAGTTTATTATGTGATTTACATATTGAAACCTTTGTCTTGTATCAGTTCAAACTTATGAAGAATAGCACGTAAAGTAACTCGGAAAACTCTGAGATTGAAAATGAACATTGTGGCCGACTACCACACGCACCTCTTATTTTTCTTGTAATTTTCCAGTTGCTGGGACTGCGTATGTTTGCATCTTTCTAGCTCGCACTGCCCACACAAATCCTCCAGGTGCAACAGGTGGTTCTCTACCTCCTCAAAACTCGCCTCTAAATGAGCTGGAAGTATATAAAATAAAAAGAAGAAACAAATGTCAAAGTCAGCATCCTTCATCATGGAGACAAGAAAAACTGTCAAAAAGTTAAAATTTTAACCTGGTGTGACTGTTTTGCATTTGCTTAATATTCTTTATTAAACTTTCTTATAGTAAATAAAATATACTGTCCAGCATTAAGCATACTTCAAATTATCTTTTTTGAGTATATTTCAAACATTGTCAAGACGTTGTTTTCCAAAATATTTTACTCAACCAGGATGATAAAGAAACCCAGTATCTTGATTAATCTAATATTACATCCTAATGGTCCCAAACTACATACAAATAACCAGTTTTCAAATAATGAGAAAACAGCAAATACAATTAATATAAACAATGTTGTTGTTAGGTTTCATTGAGTTGGTTCTGACTCACAGTGACCATATGTACAACAGAACAAAAGAATGAAACACTGCCCGGTACTGTGCTGTCATGAATTGAACCGTGTCCCCCCAAAATAACTGCCAACTTGGCCTGGTCATAATTTCCAGTATTGTATGATTGTCCACCATTTTGTCATCTGCTGTGATTCCCCTATGTGCTGTAAATCCTATCACTACGATCTAATAAAGATGGATTAGCGGTAGTTATATTTATGAGATCTACAAGATTAGATGGTGTCTTAAGCCAATCTCTTTTGAGATATAAAAGAGAAAAGCGAGCAGAGACACATGGGAACTTCATACCACCAAGAAAGCAGAGCCAGGAGCAGAGCGTATCCTTTGGACCTGAGGTTCCTGTGCTGAGATGCTCCTAGACCAAAGGAAGATTGACGACAAGGACCTTCCTCCAGAGCCGAC